TGCTAAAAGGCCCAAACACATGTTTCGCCGGTATTCTGCCGCTGCTTGACACGGTTGCGAGGGGTCCGGCTCATCAGTGGGTCCCCCAACCTTCCCTTTCTGCTTTCTGGTTGATTCACCGGTTTTGAAAGTTCAGCTTTTTACAACGTCAATTATACTACTAAGGACTGTCTGATGGCAGCATGTGTATATTTTCACAGGGGTTGACGGGTTTCGAAACAAATTTACACTTACAATTTCGGTCTACGCCTATAGACCTTAAATATACTGACATTTACCACGATTAGAAATCAATTTCTCTGGAGATTAAAAAACTGAACTTTCAAAACTGGTGAACCAGAAAGCAGATAGGGAAAGCTGGGGACCCACTGATGAGCCGGACCCCTCGCAGTTGTATCAAGCAGCGGCAGAATAGCAGCGAAACACGTGTGTGGGCCTTTTAGCAAGTACCTACGCTGTTAGTGTGGTAAGTTACAACGTCAATTTATACCCGTAATAACTAGTCTGGTCGCCCAAGACGCCACCGACTGCCACACAAAAAGGTGGCCTTGGCACGCAAGGGGATCTGTCGGGTCTTACCAATAATCAAATGCCGGAGCTTAAGGAAATCACAGTCCAAGTCGAGGAAACCCGCACTTCGGTGGGACCAAGCACCTCCCAGCGCTCTCCGAACAAGGGCGTCGTTTACCGCGCACAGAGTGAATGAGAGGACCTCGGCAGTAACTCAAAAACGGATGATGGTGACATCCATTGGCATGACGTAGTCGTGGGGTCCAATAATAAACCCCATAGTCCGTTATTTAATCGCAGACAAACCTATAGATGAAACTTTTACATATGCATATGTTGCTCACTATTTTATAGTAACATATTTTATGTTGGATATATAATGTATATGGAAAACCGATGAATGATCTCACGGACACACTGACCTTACCTGTAGCTAAAATGCGTACTTGCATATATGTTACTCACTATTTTATAGTAACATATGTTATGTTGGATAATTTATGTATACCGTTTACATTAGGGTCTTCAAATGCATAGCATACTACCTTAAATATACTGATCTATACTGAAATAATTGGGCCGCATTAAAAAAGATTGACACGCATGCAGTTATAGGCATTTGGACAACCACAAACTTAATGCTGATAGAGCATTGTAAAAAGGCCGTCCAGAAGGCAACTTGTACGCTGCACTGGATAAGACAAGCGTTCAAAATCTTCCTACCTGAACTCCTCGAAAAAATACTTGGCGCTTTTGTTAGACCACATCCTAACTTTGAAATACCAGTTTGGACACCGTGGTTGAAAAGAAGATGTGGACCCTCTCGAACAAGTGCAATGGAGGGCGACAAAGATGGTCGATGGTCTCAGGGACTTACCCTGTCAATAGAGCTTGATCAGGCTTGGCGTTTAGCGCTTTTCTTACGGGCACGTACAGTGCAGCCTGTTCTGAACATTTCGGATAATCTGTGGCAAGGGTTCCTCCCTGAAATTGGAGGATTTAATTGAGTTATCCAAAAAACTCTTCTACGTGGCCATCTTTAAAAGGTCACAAACGAACGCACTCGATTGGACTTTAGACAGTTTTTATTAGGTCAGCAAGTGGTACGAACTTGGAATTTGTTAGCAATCGAGATGGTTTCCGTTGACAGCATTTATTTGCTTAAAAGAAGACATGAGGCCATTTAATTTAACGAAAGGCGACTATCACGATAGGATTTCTTAAAGCCATCACTTTAGATCATTCCCCTGGCTCTAGACCGTGTACCTACTGTTTCGCACTGTTCGGTGACAATTCGTTCGAATTTGTTTCATGCTACCACATCTTGCTGCAACCTTCTATTGACAGTAAAAATGATAAGGTGTTCATTACATAAATGCGGACCTTGAGGAAATTCCTTGCGTGTAACCCTTTAACAATATACATATATCTACATTCGGTAGAAGAAGTTATTTAAGAAAATGTCGTTTATTGAGCAAATTTTTTACACTGGCTCACCAGATCGTCATCGGACGGATGGGAATCGTACGAAACAGGAAATCCACGCTGATGGCTAACAGAGGCTAATATAGTGGGTCGGCATAAAAATTGGTAATTGTCACCCGCATGTGATTAAGTGGTCAGTGGGGAAGAAAATAGTTGCTACCCGCATGTAATTATGCGGTCGGTTGGGGACTAATTGTCGGCTGAATCTAATTGTGCTGTCGGTGGTGGCCGGCTTTGGCTTCCTCCAGTCCGGGTAGGCTGCCGTCTTTTTCATGCTCCTCTGAGGTTGGTGTACATCGCGTCCAATTCGACGTGCCTGTTGATGCATGAGTCGTCGGGGTTGATGGCTTCTAAGAATTCGCGGCCTCTTTTGTATGGACAAGAGCCAACAATGCGAGTTTTGTCCCATGTAAATTGATGACCAGTTTCTAGTGTGTGCATAGCGACTACAGACAGGTGATATAGTCCCTTTACCACTCTTCGATGTTCGCGTAAGCGAGAAGAGGCTGATTTTCCTGTTTATCCGCAATAAATTGCATTCCAGCCGCTGCAGGGGATCTTGTAAATGACTTCCCTTCTGTCCAAATAGCTTACCCTGTCCTTAGGGTGTACAAGATAGTTTCGCAGAGTATTGGGTGGTTTGTGCGTTACATGGATTTGGTGCTTCCTCAGGTGTCTTTCAAAGAGTTCATGCCCGTTCTTAATATAAGGACCTGTTCGCCAAGTTCGTGGATTAGGCGCCTGAGCGCAACAACCTAGTTCTTTTCCTTTCTGGTTAAATTGTTGTCGTCTAATGCATCGACGCACGAACTCTCTGGGGTAATCGTTTTTGAAAACAGTTCGAAAAGGTAATCCATTTCGGCTTGGTAAAGTTCGGGGCTAGAACAATATGTAAAAATAACGGTTGTTTTCAAGAACAGCGGACGATTACAAAAAATTAAATTTGGGGTTAACTCAGAATATGAATGAAATAACAGACGTTGAATAACGTTTAAAAATAATCTTTTTCCGGAATGTGTGGATTCATATGCTTCCATAGTACACGCACTCTAAAGAACAGCTGTTACCACACAAGCCGTAGATGGACTGTCTCAAAACAGTTGAGCAAATAACTCACGA